ATCATTTCATTATCATTTTTATAGAATCAATGGCGGTGAACAATTGGAAGGGTTCTTTACACTTTACTCCAGGTAAAGCTTTGTTTTTCTGAATAATTCAATTTTATAAATCGTCATATATTTTCGTTGCAGATGCTTGTCCACTGCAAATTTTTTTAATACAACTGGAAAACTATCATTTCGATCTGTTAACCGCAGTAGATATTACAAACATATTGTTACAATTTGTGCAGTACATACTGCAGACAGATGTTATTCCTCTGAGATCTGAAACCTTAAATTCTTGTAATTGTTGCATGAAATTATTAAGGTTCACCGTTAAAACGCTGTGCAAATGTACCGAGGCAAATTTAACTACGATTGAGAATTTTAATTCGAATGATTTTCCTATGCCAAAGGAAGATTTTTGTAATTTAAATGCCATTTGTGCCAAACATTCGTTGTTTAACACAAGGCCAAGTAAATTGTGCATACACGAGATATATAAAGACAAGTTCTCAGACGAGAACAGTTGGTCGATCATGAAAAGAAGGCAATCAAAGGTATTGAGAGATGGAATTAGGTTCTTATCTCACGTAGCCATATGTGACCCAGATATTATAATTCGATTGTCAGATATTGAAGATTCATTTCATTTATTCATGAGGAATTTAAGTGCCTTCAAGAATTTTGTCTTCCACGAAAACGAACGTAAGTACGAATATATTTATATTAGAAAACGATCATGCTAATTTCGAAATTTCCTCTCCATTTATTAATACTTTTGTTTTTACTCTCATATCTACGGCTATTTTAATTTTGTCTCTTTTATCAGACCACGAGAATTTTTATATTTCCGTTTAGCTGATTACTCATCTTCTGTCATCGGTAGATTTCATTTTTACGATTTCATTCCTTTTACATCTTTTTGTTCTATCTTTAAAAAGTGAAATATTAACTTATTAATTGCAATGTAATCTTTCTTTCTTTTTTTTTTTTTTTTGCAGAAGAGGCTATGAATCGAATAAAACAGACATTTATTTTGGATAAAACGCAGCTGCCTGAAATGGAGCAATTAGGAGCAGGCAACTCTAAAAAGGAGTTGGATGTATTATCAAATTTCAAAAGATCGTTCGTACGACCACTATCTGCAAGGCCCAAAAAGAATGAAAATCATAACAAATTTCTAGTCACGATTAAATCACTGTTTAACAGGTCTTGAGAAATCTTAATATTATCTTAATTGATACAATCGAAGACTGAAAGTATTTGAATTTCGAAGTCATTGATTGTACATATTGTTTTATAGTTTGTATAATTTGTATAATATGATACATGTTATTTTATAATTTGTATATTGTTCTAAATATTGCTTTAAAATAAAAAAAAAACTGCAGTATCGTGTAATATTCTACTACGTACAAGTTTTTTAATTGGAAGTACTTTACATGATAACACATGTATACATATTAGACATTTTAAAATTACTTTTTATCTTCTAACTTCTAGTTGATTTATTATAATTTCTTGTACATTATTTTATAATTTACATAGATACTATTTATTTACTCATGTTTTACAATGCAAATAAAATATAAATTTTAATAAAATATAATTTTATAACGTATGTATCCAGACAATTATTATATTTACCATTTCAACCAGTTTCTTCCTTTCACGATCTTTAGAAGATACTTAAAGGAGATGAGTATGAAAGGGGTTGAATGTGATGTCGATGCAAAAAAAAAAAAGAAAAAAAAAAAGAATTCTGGCGCCAGAGCGTGATTTAATCAGATGCGGTCAGTGTTTCTCCCTCCTCGGAATTCATTTATCTGTAGCGCAAAATGCAACTTGTAGGAATTCTCTTCAAGGACTGGCAATGTTCGACGTTGATAACGCCGGCCGGAAGCAGATAGAACACTTATCGTGGCAGCGTGCCGACGGAAGTGATGTTCCCGCCTTCCATTCGGAGCTGAATAACCCCGAAAAACGCAGCATCCCTATTACATTCATAGATGCAGGACGATCAGCATTCCGATTTTACTTTTCATTCCTCTGCGTCCAGTGCGTCTTTCGTATTTAACTCGTTCGTTCCTCGCGCGTTTCGCTGTTCGCCATTCAAGTTCCTCTTCCCTTCCTGGTGGTGTTTTCTGTCGACGTGTGCATTAACGACGATTTAATTTAATAGAAAAAGAAAGGAACAAAAACTGAAGGAAAACGTTTCGTTTGAGGCTGGTTCACAAGTTATGAGTACGGTGAATAGTTTTCTTGGGAAGCATACGTTTTCAGAATGAGGATCTTTTCGATGGCGCTTCTTCTGTTAGTCTTCCTGGCGCAGTACACTGTCTGCTACTATCCAATACGTCCAACGACGAGTAAGTGTTAATTTTCTTTCTACGAAGAAAACTACAATTAAATTATGCTCTCAAAATTTTCACCATAAATATATGTTGCATGTAAAAGGCACGTGACGTTTTAAAAAAAAAAGTCTACTAATATGATAATTTTTTTTTTAAATATACCTTCATTATCGTTGTCTGGCTATTAACCGCATTTAATCTTCTCGTTATCTACAATTTGCATAAAGACCAGGAGAAAAACTACAATACCAAGAAAAAAAAGCAGAAATTTTCCACACTTCGTTTGTGCGAATGAAAAAGCAACGAAATTCCATTTCGTTTCAAGCGGATTAATCAAATGGTTATTTTCGATCGGGAGATCGTACTTTCCTTCTTCACCCTTTTCAATAGAGGCTTTTATTGAATTCGCACTGTGTTACAGTTATTTACGAAAGCAAAGAACGCGCTCGATTACACTTTGGCCGCGTTGATTGATGACGACCTTGATGACATTTTATTCCATTTATTTTTACATTTCGCCGATCGTGAAAAACTTGAAAAGCAATGCCGAGCTCTTTCCGCGGCTTACTTGTCCAAAAGGATCAACGCGACAAAGTGTGAGCAAGTATGTACTTACTTTCGTTTTCTGCTGGCAATTTACACCACCGGCGGAGGGGGTGAAAGGTTTCCTGGTTGAACAGGAATTAAAATTCAATTTCGTCTGGCCTATCGATTTCAATCCGCCTTTGTATAGCATTGAAAATTACGCGCGGCATTTATCGACGAGCATTATTACCAAACAAAGGCCAACGCATTGAATATTCAATAATCTGTATATCGAAGTGTCTGGAAAGAACAAATTCGTGCCATTTATGTCATCTCTTTGCGACTTTATATCGCGTAGATCTTCAAATTTTTCTTCCTTGGCTGTAACAAAAGAAGACGCACAATTATACGAGCCTGGTGAAATCTTCATGTTATTTTATTTCCATTAAACGTAATAATTCTTCAATACCTAGTAGTAGTTTCATTGAAACAGAGTCAACAACATCTCACCTTGCGACCGATTAATTAATCAACTAATTATGAAACTACAATAATTAATCAAAATTGTAATTAAATATAATAATTAACTAATGAAAGTTAATTGATTTTCAAGGTACCGGCAGGTGTCCGCAGGTGAGGCTGGTGAACGGCAGAGCCCGATCAAGGGCCAAGGGGAGGATCGTCAGATTCAGCTGTTACGAGGGTTTCAGTCTCGTAGGTAGCAAGCACGCGATTTGTTTTCGAGGCGAATGGGATAGGCCTACGCCAATATGCGTCAGTAAGCACGCCTTTTTTAATCACGATTGATAAATGTACTACGTATGCCAAGAATATCATAGTAATATAAAAATATGCCTACTAATATGCCTAGTAATATAAATAATATGCCTGAGAATAATTGAATGCTTGTGCAATGCATGTGACTTCCTCTACGAATGGTTATTCGGATGTTTCAATTTCATTAGTGACTTTGTCATTCCTTGCCGCAACAGATGCAGAATGCCCCGCTCCAGCTGTGCCAGAGCACGCGTTGATGGCGCCTAAGTACAATGGTGCAATACTGTTGTATTTCTGCGAGCCTGGATACACGTTGATCGGCTCGCACGAGATTTATTGCGACGGAAGACATTGGAATAGCACAGTGCCTTATTGTCGAGGTATTGTCGATGTTTTTCAATTCAGCAAGTACTTGTCTCAAAAGTCAAAACTTGACACGACGTTTCTTTATCTCTTTATTCCATCACTTGTGATTATATCGAAGATGTAAGATATTTTGCTTTCACAACTGAACAGGCCTTTCTTCCGATCTGATTCCCTTCTTCCACGAATGATGCAAACGTGCAATAATGCCAAATCTTTAGCCCGCGCAAGGCGGAATATTTCGTAATAGCGAGTGTATCGGACGCACAGGTGTGATACAACTATAAATTGCAGCGAACTGCACGGTATTATCGTTGGGATAATACTGCAATGTCGTTTCGTTACCGGCTCTAATCTGTTGACCGAGGAATTATTATAGCAGGCTTACGGAGTGCGCCGTGAATTCTAGTAGCTAAAGGGAAATATATGCGTTTCGTTCGGTAAATTAGATACCACCACTTCACCACCGACGCAATGCGACTTTGAAAAATCGGATCTCTGTTGGTGGGAGCAAGATCCTTTGCACGATTTCGATTGGCAGCGGCACAACTTCGAGACTACGAACTATCACATAGGGACTGGGCCGTCTCACGACCACACGCTTGGGCCAGGGAACGATGGTATTTATTACATTCGTTACGATTTTACTAAAATTCTCCAACTTCTCACTCGGTAAAATCGATCGACCCCCTCTCCTCTCTCCTTCAGGTTATTACTTGTACATCGAAGCTACCGGTCGGTTGGAAAACGACTCGGCAAGGATCGTTTCTCCCATTTACAACGCATCGTACACGGACTCTGGCTGTTTCTCGTTCTGGTAACCAAAGTTTGCAATTAAAGTCGTATTCAATTTAATTGCAAAGTGAAAAGTTATTTTCTGGGATGCCGAGAAATCTGATTTTTTTTTTTTATCGATTTTTAACACTAAACATACCAAGCGCGGTCAAATGACCACTCTTCAAAATTTACTTTAAAATCGTACATTCGTTGTTATTTCTTTCGCTAATCT